GCATGTCTTTACATAAAAATGTTGATGTGTTCTAAATGTTTTGATTCGATCATTTGTGACCACTATGTAATTGGTATGTTTAATATTCAATTGACGTCCATACCATAAATTTATTATTATTATTATTATTATTATTGAGTATAGACTATAAAACTCAACAGATAAAAATACTTCGCCGTCACTGCAGGGCATTGTATACAAGTGATACATCACTGTATTTTTGAACTTGGCTTCTGTTTACTTTAAGCAGTCTAGGCCTACCAAATTAGAAATTGTATTGAAAGTACTAAGTAGTAAATACCACGAGCCTTGAAAATGAAAAATATCTAGAGATCCAACCATTATTACTAAACAGTGTTAATGAAAAATGCATAATATAGATAGTTTTGATAAATTTTACAATGAAAACAGTTACACCTAATTATAATTTTAATAACATATTAATATTGTTTAGCTGTATATACTACAATGAAAACGTAAACAATTCTAAAATTATTTTTATTACACAATGTCATCGGTGGCAAACTTATAAATACCCGTGAACCACTCTTGTTAAGAATACTTTTCAAATGTATTGAGAATACGTATTTAAATGCTTGGTATAATTTGTATTTAAAATACGTATTCAAATACGTTCTTTTAAAAGTATTTAAGCATAAATACAAATACCTTTTAAAAGTATTCAAAATATTTTAACAAATAAATTTACTTTAAGTTTAATAACATTCATATAATTAATACCAAAATCCTATATTAAAATTATTAACTACTATCACCCATTAAATAAGAAGAAAGACTATTTAAATATTCAAGATAAAAGTCAATCCAACTAGTGATGGATGGTTGGTTTCTCGTATGCCATGGTATATAATATGGGAGTGAGGAGCCGACGGGGGTGTCAGTGTTCAGTCATTATGTTATCTGCTTGTATTTTGACGAAACTGTATTTATAAATTCTCAGAAGTTAGAACCATTAAAAAATAATATTTCAGAAACAAAATGTAAAATAGTACATTCCGAAATATTGGTACATAATTAGAATTTGGAGTAGACCACTAGAAAGAAAAAAAATATTTAGTATTCTACAATAAAAATACAATTAAAAAGTACTTTTTAAGTGTTTAAAATACGAGTACATTAGTCAAAAAGTATTCGAAAATATTTGAAATAAAAAAAAATATTCGAATACTTAACAAGACTGCCGTGAACCTATAGTATAGGCTATAGGCTATATTTATGATTGACGGCAATGCATTATATCGACTAATAACGAATACAGAAAAATAAAAATTGTAATTTACGAAATGTTTTCAATACGAAAATGAAAATTATATTCCATTGTTTATAGTATAAGTATGTATTCCAATTTCATTAGGATTGTAAAATTCTGATAGTTGTGTAAAAAAATAATAATAACATTATTTATAATTATTATAATAATTCGTAAGTTTTTTTTAAACCAAAAATTCAAATATGCACAGGGTGTTATTATATTTTATGTTTGGATGCAAGTTAAGTAGCTGTCATACAAAAATCGGCATAATTTTTTTATTATCATCATATTTCCTACCTATGACCTGTATTCTATAATAAAGCTATAAATAATTAATTAATTCATCTATATTCTATTCTATGCTATAAGTATATCGATATGTACCAAATTATTTTTTGCTCTTCTAGTTTGTAATTGTCAATTTTAAATTATTATGTCAACTATTTTATAAATATTTTATTTAATGTAGAAAAAAATATTTGCATATTTTATTAAAATGTTACTTATTATTTATTAATAAATAATAATATTATAACTTATAACTTAAGCAAAGGTTATTTTATACATTTATATAAGTATATAATAATAACCTAATATCAATATATATTACCTAAGTATACCTAGTATATATATTTTATACCTATTATTTAATTAACTCTTACCTGATCCCACCATAGACCACAGTGTTTTCAAATGGCTTGGCTGGAAATGTGTACTAAGTATAATATATTTACATAATACCTATAAAAATACATTCATAAGGCACATAATATTCACATTAATAAAAATAATACATTTTAAAGGTATAAATGTATAATGGGTAACGTAAAAATGTTGAAAATCGCGAGTCCCGAGTTCAGCAACTACACGCGATATAGTGCCTTAGTAATATAACTATTAAAATATTTATATTGTTTTAGAAAAAAAAAATTTTTTTATAAATGTGAAAAACGATAAATTATAATTTATAATATTCTTTTATAGCAATTATCGCGACATTGATCGATTTATTTTACTCTTAATCCAGTCACTGTCGACCTATATTCTGTGGCGTCCTCTACCCGCGTTACATACGAGTTATTTTCTTGCTGTATAGGCAAGCCCGGATTAAGGATCAATTTTGGGCCCCTGGACACCATACACTTAGTGGGCCCGCTTTCAACTTTAACTTCGAAAATAATTGTATAATTACATATTAACGACTTTATATTATTGTATAATTTTTTACTATGCAAAAAATATACAGAGTGTATCTTATGTCATAGTACGAGGGTTTTTTTTTAACAATTATGGATCGATGATATGGAATTTCTTTAAAACAAAAAAAGACGTGTTTCTTTATTTTTAACAGGCATTTTTTTCTTATAACATTTTTAAAATTTTTAAACACGCAGTTGTACCAATAATAAAATCGACTTTATTTTTTTCAAATGGTAGCTCCAAACCACTATATTTTTTTATGGATTCTGGTAAAGGTTTTTGTCTGAACATTTTGACAGTCAAATGATCAATTTGAGTTTGCTAGGTTTTTACTTCTTTACTATGGTCCTCGAAAGTTTAGTATAATATGCATTAATACTATTAACTGAAATAACTAATTTACAAGAGCTAAATATTTTTTTCTTATAACTACCTAAATACTTAAATAGTTGAATCAGTAATTGAAAATGCTCAGAAAAAAAAAACATAATCAAAATTGTGTTTGCCAGCATCAGTTCACTATTTATAGTAATTTTTTGTGCTGTAAAATTGAGAACAATTTTATTTTATAATTATTATTTATTAAGTAATAATAATTTACCTACTACCTTTTTTTTGGACGAATTAAAAAAAATATATTTTGGGGATTAAGATGGGCCCCCAAAATCAATGGGCCCTGGGACCGTGCCCCCTTGCCCCCCCCTTAATCCGGGCTTGTGTATAGGTATATAGCAAAAACATCATTGATTATAATACAAATAAAACAGATGCAAACTTGATCTCTGGCAATTAATTTTTGTTTCGTTAACAAATCATCAATCGTTCTCAACTCGTTGTCATAGGCGGATATCTATTGAAAATGTTGGGGGGCTACAATTATTTACATAAATCTAAAAAGTGGGGGGTTTCCCCCACATCCCCTTTAGTGTTCAATTATTTATCAACTATAAACATTAATAATACATTTTTAATTTATCCAAATAAATCTATTTTTTTTTATTTATATTACAAAATTATACAATGTATAAAAGGCATTCAACATATCAATAATTAGTTAATAACAATATATATAACATAAATGAATATTTTATTTTAAACCCAGTATTCTGGAGGTTTTTGAGAATTCATTTATAATATCTTCACTTTCAAAACGTTTATAGTCAGGTTTTTTTCAATGTGAAATATAGAAAGTTTATAGTAAACCGATCTTGGAGCATACAAGTTCTCACCCATGTTTTAACTGGAAAGATCGACCCATGTTGTATAGGTATATTATAATATGATAAGAAAAAATATGTTCTCAACATTTGAAATGTTCTATAGGTATATATTTGAAAAAATATGATTCTCAAAATGTTGTCACTGAACTGTGCAGTAATTTTATAAATATTTTATTTAATTTATTTTGTAAATACTTTTGAGGGGGCTTAGTGGCTATCAGAGGAGGCTAAGCCCCCCGGATATCCGTTATTCCTTAAAGTGTGTAAGGTAAAGAAGTTAATACCAAATTTGGTTGCATCAAAAACTTCGGCATATCAAAACACACATTAAAAAAAAAAAATCTTAAAAAAGTAGTTTTTGATTATTTTTACCGAGGATACCATGATATTTTTAAAAATCAATTGTTTTCCAGTTTTTTTGGTATTCCATCAAAAGTAAGTAAAACAGGTAAAATATGATTACTTCAGTCTTCAAAAGCTTAAACGTACCAAAATACACATTTTCAAAAAAAAAAAAATTTTAAAACGAGCTTGGGCCGTAAACTAGATTTGTTCCTATATTATATTTGTAAATTGTCATTGTGGGGGGGGTTGTACCCCTTAAACCCCCCTTGAGCATGCACATTCAAGTTGCAAATGGAGCTATATGTATAAACGCTTGTAACTATACTAACTCGATCAGATTTCGTAAGCGACTTTTGATTATTGATGTTTTTTGCTTTAGAGCTAAGCGATGAATGTATTGATTTTACAATGATATGTGTTTGTTTTTTTTTGTTGCGTATGTCATCACCTTTAAGGACAATAAAAATACATCGACATTCTTTAACAGCCTCTTTTCTGGTAGGGAAGTGAATCTAGTTGGTACCCATTTCGGGAGGGGGGGAGGTCAAAAGTAAAAATTAGTTCCAATAGTTTTCAAAAGCGTCAGGAAAAACGAACAAAAATTTAGGAAAAAACTGGGATTTTTACGTAAAAGTGCAAAACTAGTTATGGAAAAAATCGATTTTGTTTTTAGTGTACCTAACTCTAAAAAAAAAACCGAATAAAATTAATGCTTTGTACAATATTTATTAATATACCCAAGTCTATGGTACAAATGGGATGCCTGCATTTTAGTGATACCAGTGATACCTTAGAATTAAATGATAACATTATCGTTGAATGATAACGGATACGGCATTTTTTTGCGTTTAATACGGACGTATTTGGATGTTTCATTAAAATAAAATTTTATTTTAGATTTTTCAGTTTACTGTTTCACCGGAATATTTTAGTGAAATCGAGGACAATCGAATTGTTTCACGATGAATCAAGCAGAGGTTTCAAAGTTAGTGTCCAAACTGAGAATACGCGTCAATCCTCGGCATAAGAATTTAAAATGTCCCGAAGGTCCACAGGGTCGTTTAAATAAATTGCGTAAGACCGTCAATGCTCTGTTCAAGTACGAACGTTTAGAATTGAATTATACCTTGGCTGACGAGACCAGAGGGTACGCAGAACGAGTGAGTTATTATCGTCCACTGTTCACCGTCGTTGCAACGCTACTACGTAGACAATTATTGTGCATTTTAATAGGCTTTTAATTTGGATTTTCACTTACATACTTATTTGTTCATGATTTCATGTTAAGTTGATATCCGAAGCCATTAGGCATGGGGATACACACAAGCCAACCATGGAGATGGCCGACTATTGGATAGAAGAGAAACAGTTGATTCATAAATTGTTCAAAGTACTGGTACCGCGGTTTAATGACTATCAGACTTCGTACACAATGTTATACCGGGCGCCAAAAGCTTACCCAGAAATCGTGTATCCCCGTTCTGTTCTAGAACTTAGAGGTTTGCTTTACTGTTCTGATAAACTATGTTCTTACAGGAATGATTGTATAATAATAACGACTAAACGTGTCACTTTTAGGCAATCCTTTTCCATCAATTCTGCCTCAGCGATCAGATCAAAGAAATTTTATACACAATGTTCTATTGGACGAAGCTAAGAAGGCATATAGGGCTGAGAAATATGAGGAGATAACCAAATCTATCGAAGAACAACAGGATGAATAAATCCATGATAATATATTGTTTTGTGTAAATACAGTTGTTAGTTAGAAATACTTTATTAAAATCGATGCATTTTCATGGTACTCAGCTTTTCTTTTTGTACTTGCATAATATTATATTATAGTAATTCAATTTATTTCAGAAAAGCGAGGTTCAATCATTTAAAATAAAACAAGTTTTTTCTTTATTAAAAAAAATTAGAAATTACAATTTTAAATAAACATACATTTAACTACAACATTATGTGCCTGAATGGAACATATGTATTTTTTGCTCTGAAGTCAACATGTATTTAGCTCTTTGAGTTCCAACTATTGAAGTCAACACACACGCGTCATAATGCGAGTAGAGTGCTGTAATGTTTCGTGTACAGCCATCGTTGTCTATGATTGAATTACAAAGCTCACTGTAGAACCCGGCGATCGTGGGTAGTTGATAAAAAATAATGTTTTCAATACCACGAATTTTAGTTCTGTTATAAAAATGAAAACGCTCAGAATACAGCAGAATTTGACATTCGCCATGATAAAACAAATCTCGAGCTCTGGCCACTTTTCCTGGTTTGGTGTACTCACTAATTTGTACAAAACTGTAATCTTCCGTTTTCAAATAATTTCTAATACACACAAAATCAAAATAAGAAGGAACATAGACTAACACATGTTTTTCACTTGAGGCTTGAAGTTGGGTAAGTATTTTATTTATAAAATATTCAAATCTCTGTTTAATAGATTCAGTTGGCGTTTTTGAATTCAGTTTATGGTAAAATTGTTTAAGACTGCAAACGACATGGCTTATAGTACCGGTTACGATTGGATTCACTACGCTGACTGAGCCACCATAACTTGTACATCTATTCTTTAATATGGCCATCAAATTAGGTAATTTACAAGATGAGAATAATATTGTTTGTCGATAATGTTTAGACAAGCCGTTGATTGACCAGTTACGCACTCTCTGTAAATCTGTACCATGTGCCTCCTTTGGCTGTAGGTGAAAATGATTCATGATGTGTAACACATGGTCCCAATTTTGCATCAAAAATATTTCAGACTGATCAAACATCAGCACTTCCACAGATGACAGAAAATCGTAATCTCTAGATGACTCTCCTTCAGCACCAATAATCATACGCAAGCCAAGTGGTGATGCTATTATTATGTCAGAGTTATAAAAATTTTCGTACAATTTCAAACTACTTTTAGTGACTGCCATGCCAATTCTAAATGCATCATCAACGTTTCCGACAAATGTTTTCTCAAAGTCTTCTGGTTTAGGATTTTTTCTAGGTAACGTCAATTCACCACCGGTGAATTCTTCTACAAATCTGTTTTTATGCACTACATTGAAATTTTCTTTGGGAGACAAAAGAGATATCATCATGTTTATAATTCGATATGCCGAATCTTTAAACGGGACTAAAATTAATACTTTTGGTCTGGTAAGACCCTGATCACGCAACTCATCTTCATCGCCATCTTGTTTATCGTTATTTTCAACAACAATGTCTCGACTCTTAAGTACATGATTAATGGCATGAATACAGTAACAATACCGCAATTCTTCAGCGTTATCAAAATTTCTTTCTGTGTAACTGAAATCATGGTACTTAGTAATTATTGACAACAGTTCTAATTGGAATTTAGTGACGTTTTTCAAATTTGATGCAAGTTGCTTGTGCAAAACCAATTTTTTAACACTGTCCACAACTACAGGTACTTCGGGCAGCTTGGCAAACGGTCGAGTTTCTTCCAACGCCTTGACGCGACGGTCTTCGACCAAAGTTAGTTTTGGTTTTTTGAATATAAGTTTGCCCAGCTCGGGCCATTCTAGAACAGTTTCCTCTTCGAGTGGAGGTTTGTCGTTCAAACAGGTGATTAATTCTGGAGATAAATCGTAAGTGTAACGTGCTAAAAACGGATCGTCTTCCATGTTCTACACCACTTCTTAAACGTAATATTGTGTCTAATAATTAATAAACATATAAAATGTTGAACATTAAAACTGTAGAGACAGTCGCACAGAATTCTGTAAAAACGGTAGAAACAGAAACCAAAATTCGTTCATATAACACTTAACACGTGTGTTTACTTTAGCTATCACTTATCACTTACCTCGACTGAGATAATATATTTTTAATTGATAATATTCGCATTTCGCGGGCACTCCAGTATTTTGTTTCCATGATTCTAGATTTTTGTCAACAATACAATCGTTATCACTGTAACAACTACGTATTGATAGTGTTATTTACGCTCCAACTTTTTGCGGCTCTTTAGGCGTCTGGCAATCTCAAATCTGCGATCATAACCGTTCTGGTGTTTACTTTTTTTCTCAACTCTGAACTCTGAATCAAATTGGTGTTGGTCACAACATAAAAGTCTTCTCATCCGACCACAACAACTTATATTCGTTTCAATAAGCTTACCGATCGGAAATCATTTAAAAAACATTTATAACCATGAAGGAAGATCCCGATTTTCTATGCGATTCTGTGGTGAGTTTATAATATTAAATTTCACTGAAAACACAATATTTACTTGTACAATTATTTCTTTCAGAATCTGTTAACGGAAGGATGCCGTCTGTCCGTGAGAATGCATAGCAGTGACGACTGGCGTACGTAAATCAGCACTGGTGACGATTTATCGTCGTCAATAATAGTGTAATCGTTTTAAAAATAATTAATTAATTTGTTTTTTTTTTTTATGTTATTAGCACTAGCTGAAGTAATAAGTATCAAAGATGTAGGAATGACACGATATTATTATGTCCATTATATTGATTGTAAGTTTAATAACTAGTTTTACTGATATATACCATTCAACCTATGTACATTTTTAATTTAATTTTATAGATAATAAAAGATTGGACGAATGGGTAACAGAAGAACGCTTGGATACACGTAAAGTCCAATATCCCAGAAAAGATGGCATGACTACTGGAACATCTGGTACTGGTGCTAGCACACCAAAAATAAAACTTGAACCCATTTCGATAATGTCCCAGAGTCGACCAGCTTCTCCGTTAAGTTTACCACCGGCAGTACCGAACAATGATGCTACAGTTCTATCTGCTGCGTTACAAAAGAAAATTTCCAGAAAAAGAAAAATTGCTGATAATGAAGTGTGTTGAAATTTGTGACTTGTGTAGTTTGAATGTTATATGATTTATGAATTGAACAGGACTCTCAAGATTTACCAACACCAACACCACGTCAGACAGGTTCAATGGTTATGCAACACGATGATGTTGTCACCCGAATGAAAAATGTAGAAATGATTGAACTTGGTTTAAATAGAATAAGCCCATGGTATTTTTCTCCATATCCTCAGGTAAAAAAAACTGAAGTTCCTTTGTTGTTTAATAGATTTTGAGTTTACCTTGTCATTGAGTAGGTCGCTGTAATGACTTACGGATGTATTACATTTTATAAATCGTTGCATACAAAAAACAATTCTGATTAGAGACGTCTGTATAAGCCTCTATTCCTGATGTTAGTTTATAATTTATTTAATACAGTGCTAGGTTGAACTAATATTTACCAAAAACATCGCGTAATGTATTATATTATTATTAATTATCTTAATATAATTGTTATTTACTTAATATAATATAATACGAAAAACTTGCGAGGAATCGTAAATTAAATTTGTAAATCTTTGGTATTAAAATTAAAATTTTAAGAATTTTAACTATCAAAAAACAAATTTGGAAATGTCAAAACTATTTTTTAATTGCTGTTAATATTAATCATAAAAAAAACTAGAAAATTTCAAATGTCTTTCAATTACTCATAAGGTTCCAAAATACGTATAGTTAGTAAAAGCAAATATAAATGCTTGGTGAAAACTAAAAAATGTTAAATCCTTGCAGTCACAAATAATCCATATTACTTAGCTAATTTTGACAATTTAAAAAATAAAAAAATTATGATAATGACTAAAAGCAATGCTTAAGGTAGGTGACTATCAACCTTAAAAAGAAGTAATACTTTTTATATTTTGAGCCAAAATCTTGTTTATGAATCTCATCTACGAACCATAATTATAGCTTAAGCATGGACTATGAATACAACCTTATGATTTTATACGATTGACTCCCTAAAGTATCAATTAGATCCATTTTGTGTCTTAGATTAATTAGCTTTTTTAGTGTTCCAAAAATTGTGTAAGGATATAAACAAATGCATTGTTATCGAATACTTTCATAGCTTTGCTCAAAATGTATGACAATAATATACCATTACATTTTATAATTCATGAATTTTATACCGACAGGAAATGGTCAACTTGGGATGCATATTTATTTGTGAATTTTGTTTAAAATTCAAAAAAAGTAGAACTTCACTTTATCGGCACAGTGTAAGTGTTAATTTTTTTTCTTATAATTTCTTTTAACTGTTATTAATTGTATGTACGACTTTAGATAAAATGTAACTTGAGACATCCACCTGGTACAGAAATATACAGAAAAGAATCAATATCGTTTTTTGAGATTGATGGCCGTAAAAATAAATCATACTCTCAAAACCTGTGTTTGTTGGCAAAACTGTTTCTGGATCACAAGACTTTGTATTATGACACCGATCCATTTTTATTTTATGTAATGACTGAATATGACTTAAAAGGATTTCATATTGTGGGATACTTTTCCAAAGAAAAAGAGTCTACAGAAGACTATAATGTCGCTTGCATTCTTACACTACCGCCTTACCAGAGGAAGGGTTATGGGAAATTATTAATTGAATTTAGTATGATTGTTTCTTGTATACCCTTAATGAATGAGCAAATAGCATATAATTAATTTGTTTTTTTTTTTTAGGTTACGAATTATCAAAATTTGAAGGTAAAACTGGTACACCTGAAAAACCTTTGTCAGATTTAGGTTTGCTATCTTATCGTAGTTATTGGAGTCAAACGATTTTAGATATCCTGTTGACCGTGAAACCAATGCCGGATAATGAAAAACCTCAAATCACAATCAAGTAAATACAGGGTGATATTTTTATCATTGAACACTCATTATTTCAAAAAGTATTAATGTTTAAGAAAATATTTTTTTACATAGTTTCAAGTTGTTAAAAAACAATATTTTTATTAAAAAATTATATTTTTAAATATTTTTTATCCTTTTAATTTTTTAAGTTTTTTACTTTTTTGATTGACAACATGTAATTTTAATTTGATATTCAAAAACAGAATATTTTTCTGAGTATTTCGCTACATAAAAATTGAATTTAGGGCAATTAGTTTATGAGTATAAGTATTTAAAGTTTAGATGAGCGGAGTAGTGGACAAACATTTCGCGGGGTAACCCCGTACCACTCTACTCCGCTCATCTAAACTTTAAATACTTATAACTCATAAACTACTTGCCCTAAATTCAATTTTTATGTATCGAAATACTCAGAAAAATATTCTGTTTTTGAATATCAAATTAAAATTACATGTTGTCATTCATAAAAGTAAAATACTTAAAAAATTAAAAGGATAAAAAATATTTAAAAATATAATTTTTTAATAAAAATATTGTTTTTTAACAACTTGAAACTATGCAAAAAAAATATTTTCTTAAACATTAATACTTTTTGAAATAATGAGTGTTCAATGATAAAAGAATTACCCTGTATATATATTTTGGCTGTTTACTATACTATTATTTATTATCTAACTTTTATTTTTTTAAATATTTTTTAGTGAAATTTGTGAGATGACTAGTATAAAAAAAGAAGATGTTGTTTCTACCCTACAGATACTCAATTTGATTAACTATTACAAAGGACAATACATAATATCAATAAATAAAGATATAATCACTACGCACATTGATTCGTTTCAAAAGAGGAAAATTAGAATCGACTCAAAATGTTTACATTGGAATCCTAAAGACTGGTCGAAACGTGCCAAATGGTGAACAGAAATGTTTACTTTTGTAACTTTTATTGAATCATACATTTTAATTTGTTACATATTGGAATTAATATACTCTTAAGTTGTATATAAATTATGATTTATGAGAGACCTTAATGTTAGAATTACTTCATATATTTTAATATGTGTATATATATAGATATAAAAAATAATAATAATAAAACTTCAATTATTGATGAAAAATTACTATTTTAACATTATATTCATGGGAATCCATCGTCGTCTTCTTCTGCCATCTCTTTAGCTAGTTCCAAATCTTGTTGTTCGCGCTCACGACGTTCTTCGGCAGATTCTAAATCCTTGCCATATGATTTAGGAGGATAACGCATGGCCTTAACACTTTCGTTGTGCAAATTCAAACAGAAGGATATACGTTGATGGAAAGCCATCTGTGGTTCGAGTGTACAGTATATGTCAACTGGTTCTTTGCTCTGCACGTATCCGTGTTCAGGATCAATGGTCGCTTGTATAACACCATCTCTGATAGCTTTAGAAATAATGAATTCGGCGTCTTTGGGAGAATCCAACCCAAGTTTTTCAGCAATATAATCGACTGAAATGCGTGAATATGATGCGCCAATAGCTCTAATGGCGGTTTTAATAACATTATGACGTAAGCGTACAATCAACATATAAGTGTGGTCACTAAGGAAATTTTTCTTAAAGTTCTCTAGTGTTTCACTAAACATTGTCAAGTCTCCTAAACGGACTGACTGGGTAAGTCTGAAATACGGTACCAATGCCTTACGCAAACTAGCTTGACGGAATATATGCCTTTCGGGGATGTCTCCCAACAGTAATTCCACTGTGACGGCCAACTTCTGTACTGTCTGTCTGAAGCCGACCGCCGAATTTTGAGGTGCTTTACGCAAAGCCTGAACCAAATTCTTGTGCGCTACGGAATATTCAAGACGGGCAGCCTTAATACGACCTTGGTAATATAAGAAACGGGCGCATTCATTATTACTTGCTTGTTCTGGAAATACTGATTTCTGAACCAACTTATCAGCTTGATCGTACAGATTGTAATGCAAATAATTACGCAAAAGGCAGTTGATAAGCACGGCTTGCCCTTCGTAATCTTTTTTAAGTGTGGCTGTTCTCAGGCGACTGTAGAGGAACCCTTTAATTTTGTGTAGTTGATCCGTCAGTTCATAACATCTCATATGATAGAAATATGCTTTAGCAGTGATCAAATCTAACGTACGTCTATTTTTGTCAATCAACTTTGCCATCAGTAAATCAGAGAATTCCACTGCCTTTTGGTAGTCTTCTTTATCGATCAGTTGCACTAACACTAACAGGCGGATATAGCCGTCGATTTCGGGTAGTAGGGCCCCCGTTGCGTTTTTACCCGTGCGCATCTTGATCGCTTCTGGTATGTCGACCGGTGTCGTGACGTACGACAGCAACAGTTCTTTGTCAGAAGCAGAGTGTGTGTAGAAGCCGTTGATGACCGACCACAAGACAACAGCGTTGAGCTTGCGTCGGGCGACTGACCACGAGCGCAGGACGCGCAACATGAAACGCGCCTCTTTCGTTTGGACGGCCTTTTCGATCTGTCGGATGTTGTCCCTTATTTCTTGGATCACCGCGGCGTCTTTTTTCTCTTGGGAATCTGACACATCCGTCATCTCGACATCGGGGACAGGTTCAACTGTGGCGACTGTGGCGGCCATGGCTGAAACACAATAAGCAAATATAAAAGAGCCGTCCACTTTTAATCCACCGACGATTTAAATATTATGTACCTGTAAAAAATTGACGATTTCAATATTCAAGAACGGATTAAACTTTTTAGAATCGACGGTAAACGGATTGACGAGAAACTCTTATAATGTTGTGAATTCTAAATTTCCAACACATATTCCAAATAAATGATAATCATGACCCATGAGAAATCAAAAATAATTGCATGAAGGTATGTTCGAGTTTACGTTTATCGTCTGATAATTTTACTGGTTCTAACTTCAGATACGTTACCTTGAAAACGTTACTTATCATCACAGAACAATGTTATCATTAAGACGTATTCACTTATCTAACAAAAGAAATGTTTTATTATCAAGTAACAACTTATATTTTTATTTAATTATGAACTACAATAAATATTATTGAATGGTAATTTGTTATGTACTACTGCTTACTATCGCTCAAAACGCGTATTCACTATTCAGTTTCATTATTGCGCAACTAAATGTAAGTCGATTGTTGTGTCTAAAAAGTAAATTAAAATATAAATCAGTTGTAATAGTTAATAACAATACAATGAATTCAAGTCTGTTCGGTAAAGTTATTATAACTTGATATTCGTGTGATTTTATTCGAAAAGTTATAATATTTATAAACCAAAATGAAGACTTGTCAACGGTTAGTTATTCTAGCAATCTTCGGCTTTTGCGCAGCAGATCCTCTTGTGAGATATCAACCAGAACAAATTCATTTGTCATTGGGTGGTGAGTTGAAAGTTTTTCTCACTAAAAATAAATAGGTAGTTGACTGGTGAAATTCCATATAGGTGAACTGAATTCACCATTCGAGAAAAATTAAAAGTACCTATTCAACAAAATTGTAGCATCCGTACATAATGCTTTTAAGAAAGAATACAAAAATATAAATATATATTTATATACTTAAATATAAGATAATAAAAAAACGGTTGTGCCATTTTCAAAATTTTACCTATGCATTTAACGACAAAATAAAAATGTATTACAATTTGAAGTTTAATTTTAAAATTGTTTGGAAAATAATCGGTAGGTATGGTTCAAATTGTATTTTGATAAACTTTGATGTACCTTTCCACCCTTATTATTTTTAATCTAAAATTCTTTGCAGGTAGGTACTATAGGTACTAATAAATAATTATAATAAAAACAAAATTATTCTTGTTAATGAATATTTTAAGCTATTATTTACATATCTTTACTATGTTTGTTAGAGTCTGAAACTGAGATAGTTGTTACATGGACAACATGGAACAATACAGACGAATCAGTGGTAAAATATGGAATTAACGGACCAATTCTTAAGGCTACAGGTACTTCTACATTGTTTGTAGATGGTGGTGAACTCCACCGTACCCAGTATATACACCGCGTCAGGCTTGCTGGATTACAGCCATCCAGTAAATATGGTAATTATATTTGGAAAAAAAAAGAGTTTTCTGTAGTAATTTCTATCACAATTTTATATTAATATAGTGTATTACTGTGGAAGTAATCAAGGCTGGTCTCCTCGGTTTTGGTTCAAAACTGTTCCTAGTGATACCAATTGGTCACCTAGCCTTGCTTTTTTCGGTGATTTGGGTAATGTAAATGCACAATCTCTTCCTAGATTACAAGAGGAAACTGAACGAGAACTCTATGATATGATACTTCATATCGGTGATTTCGCATATGATATGGATAGTGTAAGTATAACTGTCTAAGACAGTGAAAAATATTAACATACAGGGTTTAACCAATTCAAATTGAAAAAAAATTAAATTAAATTTTTGTCTTACTATTTAATATTTATGTACGAGTTGACCTATGTTTTATTTTTTTATTTTTCACAGTTTTTCTTTTGCATTTATACATACCTATAGTACAGGGGTGGCGAACCTACGGCACGCGTGCCAAAGATAGCACGTTGGTCAAATTTCAATGGCACCCGAAAAATTAAAATTATAAACAATTATGCTATAGGGATATAATATATAGATATTATAAAATAAAATAAAATAAATAAAATAATTTAATAAATCCGTAACTTTATTTTTATGCTTATAGAAAATATAATTTCCTTTGGGCACGTGAAAAATTTTCAAAATCTTGATTTTCAAAATTTGGCACTTGACCCAAAAAAGGTTCGCCACCCCTGCTATAGTATTTTAAAAATTTAACCAATTTGTTTTTTCTGTGTAATTATTATTATAATTGCATATTCACATAATCAAAAATAACAAATATTTTACCAGTTTCAACTGATCGCTAATTAATATTTCTCCTAAATAAATAATATTATTTATTAAATGCTTAAATATTTTCTTTGTGTTTGGTTTTTACTTTTTATTTAACAAACTTTGCATTTAAAAATCTAAAATATTATATTTAATTATTCTATGGCTAAAAAGGTTATTGAGCATCAATCTTATTATAAAACTAATCAATAAATTAGCTTTTAGGCTTGAGTAATTACTTGCTATTTTCTTAAAATTTTCAATGTTCATCTTTATTCTATGGTTTTTTTTTATTATTTAGCTAATGAGAATTAATATAAAATCATAAAATAATGATTTCTATTTCATTCATTAGCATTATTAAATTATAATTCATTACTATAAAATAAATATTTATTCACAGGAAAATGCCAAAGTTGGAGATGAATTCATGCGCCAATTGGAACCGATAGCTTCATATGTACCATACATGACTTGTCCTGGCAATCACGAGCAAAAATAGTAAAATTTTAACTAAATATTTTATATTTTATTAAATACGAATTATTAATGTATAATAATATGTGCTTTTGCAGTAATTTCAGCAATTATAAAGCTCGTTTCAGTATGCCTGGTGGCTATGAGAACATGATGTATAGTTTTAATTTAGGACCAGCTCACTTTATTAGTATTTCGACAGAATTTTACTATTTCCTTTATTATGGGATTAAACCAGTTGTTTTACAATATGAATGGCTTGTTAATGATCTCAAAGTAAATTAACATGATATTGTATTATTATCTTCATTCAAAAGTTTGTCATGTTATAATTTATTTTATTTGTTTTTACTTTTTAGGAAGCAAATAAACCTGAAAACCGAAAACAGAGACCATGGATAATTGTTTATGGTCATAGACCAATGTATTGTTCAGACGACGATAAAGATGATTGTACATATCATGAAACAATCACTAGGGTTGGTCTACCATTACTCCATTGGTAAGTAACAGGAACGCTTTGTATGTTATTTATATGATATATTATATACTGTATATTATCTGCGTTTTGGGTGATATCTACTTTGTACAGATACTGACATTGCCTTTATTACCGTATAATTATAAACATAAATAATATACTCCACAACCTACACTTTACACGTTTGGCTACAGTGTCATATAAAATTATGGGTCACGATTACCGAGACTATGGGTGTTTGGACTGTACAGTTAGAGCTACGTTATTTTCCATTATTAAACGTGTAGTGGAAGTTGGGTCCACAATTCACTTGGACAAATTGAGAGCTACTGAAAAATGAACAGCAACTTAAGTGACTACGGATATATGCTTGAAACTGTAAAAAAACAGCTTCATTACATTGACCTGGAAACAGGGGGCAATAATCGGTATAAAGAATCTGCACGGAGACGTGTCAAAGTCAAATGAGAAATATTGTAGATAACATACAACATCAACAAACAGTTGCGGTAGATACATTTTTCATGTAGATAACATACGCTCGAGTACCAAATAACATAACTACTTGGATTAATAAAGACAAATATAAGTTATTTAAAAAATAATTAATCATTATGTTTTGCTTAGGTTTGGGTTAGAAAAACTATTTCATGATAATGGAGTTGACTTGTGTCTTTGGGGCCATGAACATACATATGAAAGAATGTGGCCTGTGTATGACCATACTGTTTATAATGGCTCTTATTTAGAACCGTATACAAATCCAGGAGCACCAGTTCATATTACATCTGGTTCTGCTGTCAGTAACACATTTTACTATTCTATTGTTATAATAATATTATTTTATAAATTGTTTCTGTTGTTTCAGGGTTGCCAAGAAATAACTGACAATTTTATTCCAAACCCTCCAGATTGGTCAGCAATTAGAAATAGTGATTATGGTTATGGCCGTATGAAGATTTATAATAGTACACATTTATATGTTGAACAAGTGTCTGATGACAAGGTGCGAATGTTATTTAACATTTATAAATCTTTTTATGCATAAATATTGTATTTATAATTTATATATAATATTATATTGATTTACAATGAACATAAAATAATTAAATGAAAATTGAAAGTTAATACAATACTTAACAAAATAATTTTTGCTTAGGATGGCGAGGTAATAGATCATATTTGGCTCATCAAGGATCATCATAAGCCTTATGGAAAATCAACTTCAAAATAATTATCAACTAAATCAATTTGTTTTTAAACTACCTAAATAATATTATAATCTAAGTTTACAAAATGTTAATTACTTGTACACATACAGATTAAACATTATTCTTCATAAACTGTTATGTGCTTACCTATATTTTATATTTATTAAATTATATTCATGATTAAAGCATACTTAATACTAAAATACTTATATGTATGAATATTATTGAATAAAAATTATCATCAAAATATTTAAACTTAAATAGGTATCAATTAGTTCAAACAATACCTATTAAAAATGTATACGATAAAACTATAACCACTATAAAATGATATTATATATTTGTCTAGTATTTTAGTTTTTATTTTTTATCCATAATCTGTTTTTAACTATTCCACGATGCTAGAATACGCAGACTGAATATTTTAAGATTGCTAATTCGGTTATTTGATTGTTTATTTTTTTTGTTGAAATAAAAGTAATTTTTTGAATCAAATATTGCATATTTTTCATTTTTAAACTGTCTTACCTATGTTAATAGTTATTGTAAATAATTATCCATTATCAAAATAAATTGAAAGAAAAATATTGAAAATGTGATTGGAATCGTCATAGATTAGTTTAGGATTTTATTAAAAATTATAATAACTATTATTACTTATGTAACATAAGTTTATCAAATATATGAATAGTTTGTAAGAACATCTAACGAGAGTTGTAGTGACAGCCCAGTGCAAAATAAGTATAAAATTTTAAATGTATTTTGTTAATTCCATTGAATTAGGTTAGACATCTTCTGCATTTTGGCTTAGTCCTTGTAGTACACTTATTGTTATATTTATAATTTGAGTCTAATTTTAGGAATTTGTGACAAAAAATATACATAGTATAATATGTAGGCATAAAGAATACAAAGGGGAAAAGTAGGTCTTCTATGCTTTTACTGAAACTTTGAAAGTACGGTACCTACCTTAGTAAAACAAGTTATGTCATGTTTGTTGGTTTGTTCTTACTGATTTGTAGTGCTTGTAAGGTTTGAGGGTGTAATAAAAATCAAAGCACCCCTCAATTATGTATATTACTTACGTATATTAGTTAATAATTAGATAGGTACACACATTTTTTTTATTGTCATCAGGGTACTTCTACTATTTCTATTTCTAAGTCAAGTACTTGTTGGGTATCTACTATACCATCCAAATAATCTAATAAATATTGATGAATAATCATTAGCTTTAGGGAAAATAACTAGTGGTTAGCAATTTAGCATGATGGAAGTAAGTAGTAACTACTTCTAAATAGCTGTATTTGTTATTCTTATTACCGAATACTAGAGACAGTGGCGTATATACAAATTATTTTCAGTATGGGCCAATTTATCAGTTATCACTAGTCAAGAATAGTACGACTAACATAGCCATAACTTTACATTTTGTAGGGAGCTGGGTCATAACTATGACATATACAGTACAAATAAAAATTACACAATTTAATTATTATGTAAAATTAATTTTTTGATTTTTTTTTAAAAAATATTGAAAGTTTTATTTATATATTTTAATGTCATCTTACTATGAATTTAACATCAAAGTCAATTATAAGTCATCAAAGCAAGTCCTGACCACCTAACATTTCCTCGTTGATTCTTCAAAAACGATTTTAATCAACCGCGGCTAACTTAATAAAGGTGAAAAACTGTAAACAGTGTAGATATACATGCAATACTTTAATTGAACCTGCAATTTCACTATGGGCTCTGGCCTAGGGGGCCTCCCCCCTATATACGCCACTGACTAGAGACTAGAGAGCCTTTATAATTATACTAACCAAAGTACTACTTCTATCATGGTGGTTAGTAAGTGAAACAAATACTGTAGATATCTATAGTATAGTATTCGGTAGAGAGCCTTTTTAATTATAAAGGCTCTCTAGTCTCTAGTATTCGGTAATAAGAATAACAAATACAGCTATTTCTATCCACAGAATCTTCAAAAAATCGAAAACACAACAAATAGGTAATAATATGGTTACCTAGTTGGCGCACCTACTTCACAGACTTCTATACTACACTAGATAAGGAACTACTACACAATTTGCATTGTTACAAGTGAAGCTCAGCTGTGGAAGGCTGTTATTTTGTCGGTTGGCAAAACATTTCATTTATTGCACAAAATGGATTAGGAATAATATTTTTTTTAATGGTCAAATAAAATAGTAAATGCGAAATGACTTAGGTATATAAAATATTTTGATTTTTTTTTTTAAACAACATGATAAGAAATAATAAAATACGATACAAAATAAATCATAATATCATCTTATTTGACATGTGAAATACCATACAATTGCCAACCGACCTTGAAGCTTCAATTCATGGCTGGAGTTCGCTATCTAGTACTATATAGAAATCTGTGACCTACTACGGAGAACGGATTGAGATAAACGTAAATAAATATTATTTAAGTATCCATTGTATTTGCATTCCACGGAGTATGGTTAGGTTTATTATATTCTTCGATTGAGGTAGGTAACAACATTGGTTATACCATGAAGTGCAAGAACTGAGTCCATGGTTATACATATTATTATTAGGAACCCAGTTCATGATCAATAGAGGTATTAATAATTTTCTGAATTTTTGGTTTTCGACTTCGCAGTTTTTAGATATTTAATCGTAGAGTCGTAGGTACAGTTCTACAAAAATACACTGTAGGTTGGTATACAATATGACGTGTACCTACAACATTTTTCTACATTGATATTTTATAATGATATATTATAATATTTTTAGATATTACTTAATGAGAACTGAGAAGACAAGACTACACTGTAGTACCATAATATTATGATATTATTCACGTCTAGTATTCTTGTCTATGGTCTACACGGCGGCGTCCATTGCATTTCAAGTTAAGATTAACCATAACTGTTGTGAATAATCAAACATGGACAAAAAAGTCGATCCGAGTTCGATGAGCGATTGTCGTGGATCGAATGAAGAAGGCGGAAGCCGGAAACGAGAGGCAACTGCCTACGACGAGCCACGAATAAATGGGTTGGCAGAGGCGGCAGGTAATTCCATTGTTTCGTTAATATGAATCGTAGATCTAAAGACTAAAAGTCAATTTTGGATAAGTCGTAGGTACGGTTTAAGATTTTACAGTTACATTCTATTACTTGTTTTGCGAAAACTCTGAAAATCATATTATTATTATATTAGATATCGTGTTTAGTCAACATTTTACGTTTATTTTTCTATGCCCATACATTGCCTATACCCAATCGCCTTAAAAACGTAATACATCATAGGTAATAATATTATAATGCGTATTATATTAATACATTTATGTTTAAAAAAGGTGGGCAAGTGGGTGTGGCTCTGCTGTACAGTAGGTTACAAGTGGATCACTGTATAGTAGATGATATTAAATTTGAATTCAACGATATATTACCATTGTATAAGAAAACCGATTCTGAGCGGAGAAGGTATGTCAGTCTAGGTATAAGACATATTATATAAATATCTATGGCATTAAACAAAAAAATGACCTATAATAGGTACCTATAATAAATTCCAAATTAATCATATTCCAATATCCATTAGGTACTTATAAAGCGTTATACATCAACAAAAACCGTGATACCTACTATCATAGATATATAATAATACACTTTAGAAGTTTCAAGTACCCAAGAATGATATTATTCAATCACAACAACAAAACTAAAATAGTTATTCTAGGTTTTTTAATATGTAATTTCGTCCAAATTTGAATTTAAAATGTCTGTAAAAAATAACTGTGTTAATACATTTTTTGGAATTTTTGGTTACAGTATGAACTATTTATGAGCACCTTTGTTTTAAATTTGCAATCCTTAGCTATAAAAATTAAAAACTGAACATTTTATAATTTATTAATTACAATGATTGATAATTTTCGAGATTTTGATAAATTTTGTCAAAATTCGATCTTTAAATGCTTATAAAAAAAAACTTTGCCTATGTATTTTTAATATTTTTCAACTGATATTGTAACAATATATCAGGAGCCTTGTATTAAATTTTTACACTCTTTGGCCCAACAGATAAAACTTTATTAATATTTATAGAAAAAAAAAACTAAAAAAAATTGAAAAAAAATTTTTACGAATTCTTAACTCAAAATAATTTGCTAATTATCGTGATTTTTCCATATTTTGTCAATTTTTGAACTTTAAATAATTATAAAAAAAAATTGTGACTAAGGATTTTTAATATTTTCATTAATTGTCATCTGCCTTTGAAACAATTATATACTAGGAGCCTTCTATTAAATTTTCAAGCTTTTTAAACCAACAAATAAAATTTTATTGATATTTTTAGAAAAAAATACTAAAAAAAAATGAAAAATGAAAATATTCGTAAAGAGCTCAAAATAAGTCAAAATATTTGGAAAATGTTGCGGTGTATAGAAAATGCTAATATAAACATTCAGTCAAAATTTCATGTACCTACGGTCATTTGTTTAAGAGTTGCATGAAAAACCAAAATCGAATTTCTCGAAAACAGATTTTCCGTAAAAATTCCCGTTTTTCCTTAATTTTTATGTTCTTTTTCCCGGTGCTTGTGAAAAGAACTGGAAATTTTAAATTTTGACCTCCCCAATGCACCAACGATATTCACTTTCCAATCGAACAAGATACTGAAGTCGAAAATCGAAGAATTATTTTGACTACTTATCGTGTACACAGACACAAAAAAAAAATAAAAAATAAAAATATAAAAACACACATCATTGTAAAATCAATACATTCATCGTTCCACTCAGAATCTAAAATTTAATTTCTAGTTTAAGTTCAAGAATTTCAAAACTATTTTTAGACATTTTTTAGGTTTTTTAACCTTGAGTTATATCAGTCGCGTTCTCAGGAATTTTCTATGGGGTGGGTTCTGAAGATTTACTAGAATTCAATAATGGGGGGCTCTGCCACCCCCCCCCACACCCCCCGTAGTCATAATATTTACAAATTTTGTATCATTATGT